TCTATATAAAAACGATATATTTTCTACCGATGATTTCGATACGACCAACAATTCAGTAGCAATTGTATGGCGATACAAATATACCGATCTTCATTAGCGTGCATGGCTTACGAGCTCAATGGATGTCAACGTATCCACACAGCCAATTTTAAGAACACGAACCGGCCATAAATTTTTTACTCGATAACACAACGGGATCTGTAGCAAAATGACAACTCGACCCACATCAATTTCTACCTCATATAGCTTTCTCCTATCTAAATGAACGCTTACGCGCACAGGCACGACCGCAATCACCAAAGCCTTCTACTCTTATTTATTACAACTGAATTATAATATTACAAACAACTGTATGTTTTGACACGGATTTATTCATGATCGCCCCTGCGATCCATTTGGGCAATCTACAACATTAGACGCACTTTGATTTGTAGAAAACAGTACGCGTTGGAAGAGAACAGGAGCGAAAGGATTTACACACTAAGTCGCCGCGTGGACTGCTTTAAAAGTTCCCCTTCGGGAACTATTAGCGTTGCCCAAACAGGACAAGGAGGGTTTGTACCTTTCGCGTCCTGCGAGCCGAATCCGATTTCTCCCACACGTCATCACATTCAGTACGCCATATTCGGGCTACGAATTTTCCAGGTTTGAAATTCTAGGTTAGACAGTGCTTGTATTTAATATATATATATATATATGTGTCAGTGACTCTTACAGCTTGTACGCCATTCAGCACGGCAAATACCCAACGTCGATTGCCCTATTTTTTTTTGTGAAACCAGCTGAAAAGATAGCACTGGTACAAAATAGTAATCCAAAGGCCTCACACAATTAAACGACCCAGCAGGTCCTAGACCTGCTCGAGCAATAATACTTGCCAATTCTGTAATTTGGTTAGTCGTTATTTTTTCAGTCCTCACAAAATTGCCATACACGAGAGATGGTCTCTCGAAAACTTCTTTCGCTCTTTGTTCGAGGAAGCGAAATCTTAAAACACTGCGCCATACCGAGCCAGCATGAAGACGACATTTTCTGCATGGATCGGGTCTACAGAAATAGATTTGGGGAGCAAGAGAAACTGTAATAAGTGAAAAAAACGAACAAAAAAAAAACTGTGAAGTTGACTAACTTGAAAAAAAAGACGCATACTATTGTTAATATTAAGGCCTTTCTTCCAGTCAGCCATGGGCCCCCACGAATACCGACACTAAATGAGGCAGTCCTACCTATGATTTCATGTAACTGAAGAAAGGCTTACGACGGCCCATCGTATCTAACAGGATCAATCAAATGTGTTTAACAATATGACTAACGTTCACTTTGAGAGACGATACGGGAACACCATACACCATGTACAATATACAGACAGTTTAAGAGGAGTGAAACAGTAAATGGAGTTATATATCGAAAATATTCTAAAGCACGAATCGGTTACAACTGAACACTACCGCTGACGACGCGTATATAAGGCTTGCTTTCAAACGTTCCATATATTACCACTGTCAAAAATACGTACAGGCACGATTTCGTGTGATCGTATTAATGCTTGATTCGCCCCATGGATTTGGGCAGTTATAATAAATTGCATCAAGTTTGTTTTGCCCGCTAGTCCTCTGAAATCTTGTATCATTTCCTATGACGGCCTACTGCATTGTTGTAGAATTCGAAAGCTGCAACCATAGCCTTCACAATAAGAAGTAAGCACCGTATAAACTGCCTTCGTTTTCTATGGTGTTTCTAGTTTTTTATGCACTTTTTACATACACACATTGCGTTGTGAAATGTTCCAGAGCAAGACATACAACGCTTCGATCATGGCGCGTTTATTAGTTTGCGGGTCAAAACCGTCCAGATGCCGTACAGACGTTTAACTTAAACGCCCGATGACTTCCTGCTGACCGACTTGCGCGCTTAGTCAAATTCGTATTACGTATAATTCATCATTGTTGGTCTTCTACGGTGTCTCTTATCGTCCCAGCTCATGCTGAAACGTCAATGCAGGGACTTCGTGGCTGTGTCGACTGTTTTTGCAGGCTGTGTACGAGTGTCTGCTCTAGCCTGTCACTTCGCTGTCTTGCTACTGCAGTAACCATTGCCGGTACCAAAAGCAGTCTGGACGTACGTGGCAAATCGCCAGTTACAAAAAAAATAGCTTTGTATCTTTTTGGTTCTGCTACGCTCGTAGGCTCGCACGAATGATGACTCTTGACTGAATCCCATATCGCACATAACAGCCGAAAATAGTAAACAAAAACATAAACGATACGTGTCTGCGTTGTCGTACTGGGGACACGTGGCCATATATGAACGGTATCTTCTACTGTCCGAAAAAGATGTTGCTTTGTAAAAATCTAGTGATTCATAGCGTAGAGGTTCATCGTTGTCAAAAATCATATCACTGGAGACGAGCTCGTTCCGATAAGCAAATACCACTATTTCCAATGCTTGTGAATTAGACGTAAGAATTGGAAACAAAGCGCTAAAGTGTACGGTTGATTGTACCATAAAACGATCGTGCCAGAGTAGCTCCGCCAAGACATAGCTACGAACGAATACAGATGTTTTTTATTATTCTTACTAAACAAAAAATCACTCTCTAATCAGTGTTTCTTATTCTTAGTTTTTCGTCAATAGTCACAATGGGCAACTGTAATTTCCACCAGCAATTTGACTGGCTAAATATTAGCGTGTCAAAAAAAAATATCGATAGACGCTGGGCCCAGTCACTCTTACAAACTTCATAGATCATTGAGGTATATTATAAAGGTTATGACGGATCACTTTTCAAAAAAACGTAATGGATTGTTTTCCACGGTACCGAAGCGTTACTAATTCGAACGACATGGCTGGGACCTATACGGCAAAACGCTTGATACTTTCTTGTCACAGTTATATCATCGTTACTTCAAACCCCTAAGCACTTCAATCGTACTAATAACGTTGTTGTGTACAGGGGAAGGAAACGCTTTAAAGATACTTGCATTTCAGACCATCTTGCAGACTACGGAACGCTGTTGAATACGGTTACATACGCTACAAGTTGAAATTAAATTTCGACGCTCTAGTTCAGGCAGAGTCTTATGCTCAATGTCAATATATTTGGACACAGTTTAATTGAAAGTTCAAGCAGATACCCGATCGGGTTTATGTATAGCTAGATGATCGTACTGCTAGAATTTCGTGAAAGACATCTAGAGGCAATGCTGAAACAAGGCAGTCTCCGTCTTCGTTGCATATTGTCCTTAATCCATACAGAGCCACCCGTTCTCAGTATGTCAACTTGAGGGTAACATTTACGCAATGACCAGATCGCTGATGCCGTATGTAACAATCGAAAACGCACGTTGCCTTATCATAAACCTAAATACAAAGATTGAGCCCATTTACAGGAACGGTTATTAGATGTTTAGCACGGTGCGACAAGCATGTTGCAGGTCTGCATGTATTGCCACACAGCTTATGCACTCATAAAAAACATCTAAAAATATCAGCTCTTGTTGGTTGAAAACTTCCTGTAGCCAAAAGTTTGATTTAGGCAAATTTCCTCGAGTTATGCATCCCAAACATCCCTGGAAACATCAAAGGAGGTAATTAGTTAATTGTTCATAGAACACGTATTCCACGGAAGTCTCGTTTTGTCCATGCAGCTGAATATGAATAGATTTCTTTTATGAAGTTCTATAAATGACCAAGTTTATAAACGGTCTGCAGTTCTGAAAAAGCTATATGAAAAAAAAAAAAAAAACATATCGGACAAGAAATATCATTAGTTACGTCGGATTAAAGTTAAGAGCTACTGAAAATTGTGTGTTTCTCATTGAAGTCGTAAGGGAATTCCTATGGGGGCCGCCTAAGTGGGATCATACCCGAAGCATAATTGTGGTATCATTATGATGTCCATTGTATTTAAATATATTGACGATTGAAAATTGATGAATCGGAAATTACCGTTACGTTTACTATTCTTTACTGACGGCACAAATGAATCGTCATCGTTGCCCAGAGGTCAATTACAGCAAACGATCAATGAATTAGTTTAAAAAAAGGCCGAAAATATCTCTTGTTGGTGGAGCGTACTAATAAAGGATAACGTTGTAAAAGATTCATTGTCGATGTTGATAACCGTAACATCCTAATAAGAATGAGGATAAGAGCTTCTATCTATTTGTTTCCAAATCGGAAATGAATTAGGTACCGTTAACTAAAATTGTAGCTTCGTTAATTCATGTATTCAGTTGAAGTTAAATAGTTGAGATTGCAATGGAAGCTTCAGAGCCCGGTCAGCATGCGGTAACTTCCACAAACTTTCGGTGAAAGATACGCTTTGCTTCCCTCTAATCTATCCTTTCGCCGCGAGGTGCGCTGTTCAAGACACGCAGTATTTTATATCACATTGGGATCGTTGTAGCCCCTACGTTAGTAACCCAAATTTCAGCCAATCACAGACTCCCTTCAACGCGTATTTCCCGCAGAATTATATATATTTACAAAAGTGATATCTATTAAGTGAACTTTTGAAACTTAAACTTGAACTTTTAGCGATAAAATGAATATTTGCGGTACACGGCTCACTGGGAAAAGTGTTGCGTTTATTGATCTTTCCTACTCCCTTAATGATTTATTATTATTTGTTTAAAGGTCTATTGTATTAACAGATAAATCTCTCTGTATTGATATACAGTAGTGACATTGTTGTGGACCTTGCGACTTGTTCAACCTATATCAGCTAGGGCTGATTTCATAAAAGCATTTCTCTTACCATACTTAATTTTCTCATACTTTGATTAAAGTCGACGCCCAAAGTCTAATCCCAGCTTCAAAGGTCCGAAAAATCGTATAATGGATGGCAAGAACATGTTTTTTTTTAAATTTATTTCGTGTTTTCTTTACATGTGTTGTTAAGTTCATTCACTTTTAGTGAATGATATGGACCATTATTCTATGCATCGATATGCAACTTCCATCGTTCCGCTTTGTGGTTCGATCGTTTTTTTTTTCAGATGAAGACCAGCGTGAAGGTTGCCCACAAAACAGGGAAGAAGCTGCCGCGTTGGGTCGATCCTGTCTGAGGAAATGTAAAAGCGACGAGGACTGTATATCGTCGAAGAAGAAGTGCCTCTGTGATGGACTCTGTGGCTGGAGTTGCGTCAGACCTGGTAAGTGATCCGGCAGTAAACGCTTTGTGCTCTCATTGCGTTAGCCCTTTTGTCGTCATAATCACAATCGAGCTATAGCAATAAAGCTATCAGTATTTCGTTGTTATTAGCTTTGCTCTAGGCATTGTTGCGTTGGCCAAATAGCACGAGACAAAGACTAAATGAGCGAGAAATCTGCTTGTGTAGTAGTAGTAGTAGCAGTAGTAGAAATAGTAGAAGTAGTAGTAGTAGTAGTACTAGTAGTAGAAGCAAAAACTTCGCTGAAGCCAAAACCTATTGGTAGGCTTCGCGGCGATTGCATTATACAGGGTGAGGCAAACATTTTTTTGAAAGTTTGAGGGTATTTATTTCACATTTGTAGATCATGTTTATTTTTATAAACCACACTTGCCAAATGACTTCTTTTCAAACTCTCTCAGTTTTTACAATATACGAAGTATAGTAAAATAGCTATCACATGTTAGAAAAATATAATCAGATAGAATAGAATATAGATTTATATCCTACCCTTGGCATCTCTATACTTCTACTGTACTTTTCTCTATTTAGTATGGGCAGCGCCTCGATTTGTGAATGAAATTGAGTTTTTTTGTGACAAGGTGGGCGGTGGCGGTACGAGATGAACAAACGAGTCAACGGTCTACTACCAAAAATCAGGCTAACTACAATATAAGTTCTATAGCAGGGTTCTTCTACGAGATGCTAGAAGTTGTAGCACAGCAGTGGTTTCTTGTTCTGCTATAGGCCGCGCCTCCAGCTTAGGCCCTCCCCACTATCCCGCGGCCCGCTAGCAGTGTGATGCCAATGAACGCTAACTTTTAATCCTTCATTTCGAGATGGCGGCTGCAGTGCCGGTGTTGGCAGGAAAGAAGGAGGGCCATTGCAAGTGACGAGTGAGCAAATACGCTGTACTGAGACTTGCCCAAGTTATAGTTGGTAGGCAAGTCGAAGGCAATGTATACCATATGCCACTGTCACACCGTTCGCTCATCGAAATATGGTATGTGGATATGCCTTGATGAGGCTCCGTTCTTCGCACAATGAAAGATTCCGTTCTTTGCGTCGCTCTGCCTCTACAAACGTACCCCACACCTCAAAAGAAGTTCCACTAGACCTCCTCCCATACACCTTCTTCCAGGCCCCTATGAGCCAACAGCCCGTCTCTGGGGTCAGCGATAAACGAGTAACATCCAACAAGCATCTCGGACCCGTGGCAGAAACCCTCAAATACACTCAGCCACAGCGTCATATCGGTCAGCACTCGATGCAACACGTGGTCGGCTATATATTGGTCTGTAGTGGGTGAATTCGAAAGCTTTGCCCATGTGTGCTGCCATGCCCTGTGTTATTTTGAAGTCAACTCCCCTAACAGATCCAGACGCATGATTTAATTTTCTTTTCTGGCGTAACCAACGCCACCGCTTCCTTAACGCTTTAAGGGAGCGAACACAAGCCGCACAGTTACTATCATAATATATGAGCAAGGTAATAATCGTGTTGCATATAAATCAGCTAAAACTACGGGAGTCGAGGTCGGCAAACTGGTGCGTCAGAAAAGGGATCAGAAGTGCGCATACTGCTGCAATAAAGTCTATCCGACGACAAATCAAGTGCTTAATGGATGGCCACGAGTTTAGCCTGATCCGGATTAAAAGCAGTCGACTGTGTTTATCAAATTATGGTACGAATACAGGCACCAAACGGGTCATTACAAGATAAATAAGAAAAATATTTCCCAAGCCTTTTCCAGAAAAAGCGAGCAGAGCGCCCTTTTCAGCACTGATTCCGAAAGGCAAGTTTGCAATCTTCCAACGCAATACTATCACATTCCTTTATTCTAATTTACCTTTCTGGTTTCGGAACAACAGAAGGCTTTATACGTCGTTACTGATATAGGTCTCGCGTACAGTGTAATCTTTCCAATTTTCCTCGATCATTCAGCCAACTCAGCAAACTCGTCGCTAAGTGTATGGGCGCCGCTGCGTACGCGGTCGTGAAACGTAACGAATTTCAATCTAGAACATTTAAGGCCGAGTTTGGGCCTTTCTATTGGCTTTGCTAAACGATCTTGCCTGTTTTGTTAGTGGTCGACAGGGGCAACCGACAACGCGCGCAAATTAGCTGACCAAAGCAAATGTGACAGTTCATAGTGTCGGTATGCAGCGCGGAATTGATAGCAGACAAACACGTGGTGGGTGTTCGGTCATCGTAGGGTGTAGAACTTGCGGGAGTTTTGGCACTAACACTATCTTTTTATTGTTGAGAACAACTTTAGAATTTTCGTAAGCTTAGCTAGAGGGTGTCGTGTGGTACAATGGTCATGGAAGGAATAGGATTCATAAAAAAGGCGAGCTTAGTCAGTTTCTTGTCCCTCTCGCGATTAGTGTCACACAACAATGAACTCAATTGCGTACGCAACGCTGTCTGTTACACTTTTTGCTTGACCTCCGATGCCACTACAGTACGCTGATTAAAAAGGGAATCGGACCAAATAAAGGGAGAAGTTCAAATTTTTTTGAAGGTCCTTGCTTTTCTGACTTGTTTTGCCCCTTTCACAAAGTGCCCCCAAGGCGTAAGACCCGACGAGCATATAGAGGTTCTCTCATGTTGAGTTCTCTCAACGCCGCCGCTGCTGTGGCCCGTAACCCAAAGCTCCGCAACGGCCTCGCATCTCTGGAACGCTTCGCTCTCCTATCGGAACAGCAGCAATCGCCGACATCGGATAAGTGTGTGGCTGGTTGGATCGTCAGTCGGTCGAGCGATTGAATGAACGGGTGTTAAAATAGCTGATGGCTGCACTTATATCCCAATGAGATGGAAAAGAAAGATCGTAGCGCCGCTGTTGGTTCTACTCGGAAGCGTCTTTTTCTGACGACCACCGGAACCACTGCGTTCCGTGGATCCATGAATCGTTACATGTTCTGGCCGGATTTGCGCTGTGTTAGATTAGCAGTGCTGGTTTTTCTGCGGCAGCCCGAGGAGACGGAGCGAATGAACCGAGCTCTGGCAGGGGATGAGGAGGGTTTTGGGCTGCTTCTTTTACCCTTTTTAGTTTCTTCCCTTTCTTTTCGCTGGTCCCGCTTTGCTGCTACATCAGTCCCGCCGCGCACTCGGAACCGCCAGCAGCGCTGATTTGTCGCTTATGGAAAAGCGGCAGTTGAGGGTTCTAGTAAGCAAAAGATCCTGTCTGGACTCAAAATGCGTTGAGCACTCCGTCGTAGGAAGTGTTTCACTGGGTGGCTTTCCTATCTATCGGCATCAGCCGTCGCAAACCGACGTAGGCAGTAGCACTTCACGCTGCTCTTTAGTTGTTGCTGCCGCTGGAGAATAGTCGTGGATAGCTAGCGGTATATTCACTGTGCACCTAAGGAAAACTTCTGCTCGTAATGCTGGTATTGTTACCATCACTTCTGTTAGACGTTGCCCTATCAAAAAGGACGCAACTCTCTGGTTTTTCAGGTTTTGTTCGCCCAATGACTGCGTTATAGCAGACAAAAGGGAACGGAACGTAATACCGCTGAGCGGTGTTAAGCGGCTCGTGTTTAAGCTGACATCGTAATCCAATTTATGCCAATAATATGTCTGTCTATTAAGGAGGTTTGAATAGATGTTCTGCTGAAACATGTGTTATGGTACTGCTACGCTATATGTCAGTTTTTGTAACGTGTCCATGTTTTAGCGAAATGAAAATGAGTATTTCGGAAAAAAGTGACCATAGTCAGAAGAACTTGATTTTTAAATGTCTTGATGTCCTCGCGTACGAAAATACGACGCAGCATCTCAATCTCGGAGTCTTCGTTTAAAAAGAACGCTGCCCTTTATCGCGCGCTATACATATATGACTTACGCTTGTCAAGCGTAAGGACCCTAAATTCATGCCTAAGCACTGTAAGTAGCGTCGGAATGGTAAAGAATATAAGAATATAGATACTGAAATAATTTTAAAGGTGTGTTAGAATTATCCAAAATGCATTGTATTAACAGGTTTGACCTTATCTTATCGAAAAAGACGCAAGAACTTGAGAATATAGAAGTATCTATAGAAGTACTCTTAGCCTTACTGTTAAAATACATAGCATGAAGGCCATGAGCAGCATATAAGGACAGCTAAATTAGAATTTTTGCCTGTTTCCATTGGTGATAAACATTGGTTTTGTATCATTTCCGGTAAAACTCCACTCCCCGTACTCAGCATTTCATGCTTACATAATTACTATAATATAATACTATAAGATCAGGTTCCATTAACAGTTGGTGAAAAGTCAACATATACACTAGTATGTCTTCGCATAAGGACCAGAAAGCAGAATGTTTTTCCTTCTTTCGTTGGCTTTCGTATCACACAACATAATCGAGTTTCCCCATTGCTTTCACAACAAGTGCTATAGATCGAATGTGGGTAGAATTAGCGTCTTCCTCCTCTTGTGGGCTTAATTCAGCCGTTCTTCGGTCGGCATCATTTAAACTAGCTTTTGCTGATGAAGGCAAGGTGCTCGGAGGTTCAGCAAAGGCCTGTGACTTACTACCTCTATGGGTTACTAAGTACATTGACACAGGTAGCCGGCTCGCGCTCATATACACACAACGACAGACACACAAACAGCAAACTTCTCCAGAAAAAGTCTTGCCGAAGTGGAAGAAAACGAATTTCTGCCCAACTATAGCCTTGACGACTCATTGGCAAACCCTCGGGGATACTGAAGTTGGTTAGTTGGATGCAAACCTATTCTGTAAAAAAGGGCTGTGCTGACTCGAGCAATGGGTAGACAGCAGCGGCGATGACAGTGTCAAGGACTCCTGGCCGACTTCCTATGCGTTCTTCCATCCTCGTCACTATCGGGGCTTTTTCTTCCTTTGCGAGATCCTCCATCCTACGACGGACAGCAATACTAGCACCAATGAAGCAGAAGAAGCAACAGAGAGCAACCTTACTCTTTAACATAGCTTTTGTCATCACTTGTTAACCGTCAACGTCATTGAATACTGTAGTAGAGAGGCCT